TCGTCGTTTTTGGAACTTGCGACAGGCCGATAATTGTTACAAATAAAAAATGATTCCACACGATGGAAATAAGAAGAAAATTACATCTAATGTTAATTCGGTCTGAAATTATGTTAAGTGATTGTAATAAAAAAATATTAATTGTTAAATGCGGACATCGATGCGAATTTTAATTTAAATAGTTGAAGGTTATTATTTATATTTATTTTTATTTTGTACTGAGGATGGTCAAATGGTGACCGAAACGTCTACTATGTACATTGTTATTATTGAATTATAACTTTTTGACATCTCTAGCGTGGCTGTATGCTCCTTTTTACTTAACCTTCTTAACATTGAGCCACTTTCTAATATTGAAAATTCTTATTATATACATCCTTTAACACTGTAAAGTGTACAGACAAATATTTCTGCAAGTAAAGGATGGAATTTTGAACTAATTGAAAGTTAATTTCTAATTTTGGCTCTACTATAATTATTTACCGAGTTATTAACGATTAAGTTGAACAATCAGATTACACCCAGAGGAGTAGAAAAAGCATAGTATACTATGAAGCTCCTGGTATTGTACATTCTCTCGATTACAATTTTATTTTAATTTTTCATTTTCATAAATAAATAAATGAATAAATCGATAAACGGATAGATAAATAATGGTAGAGAAATAATGATCTGAGAAAATTGGGAAAGAAACTTTTAGTTTAAAATTCCATCCTCTTTGACTTTTAGAAGTATTAATTAATTAACAATTACGGAATGTAGGTATACTGTATATAGCTATTCTTACATAGAGAAATTATGTTCGGCACAATTTCCTTAATTTAGTGATTATTTTGTCAAACTTTATTAGGCGGTATGATTCGCTAATTTTAAAAAACTACTGTAATTTCAATATTTTAGTATTAGATGTTTCGTTTCAAAATGATCTCAGGAATCTACATTTATAAGTAATCACAATTATGTCATAATTTTTACAGGATTTCCAGAAAGTTTTGTATTTTGATATTGTGATTGTTACAATTAATATTAGTTACAAAATATAATTATGTAATTTTTTTTAAATCTAATTATTATCTTACTTTAACACATTATAAAAAATATAAAAAATAACGAATCGATATTATAATTAATATTTTTTTAATACGTTCCGTGCCAGTCACTGGTGATTATCACGCGATGTGATAGGTGTCACTTAAAAATGAGGTGGTATTGAAAGTAAAATGTAATTTGCTGATATAAAATTAAAATTAATTCACTATATTATACAATGTAACGGATTTTCACAGGAAGATAGAATTGGACGAAATATATCGATTAGAACAACTTCAACAACGAATAGATGAGAACAATTTATTATCTGATGATGCAGGAGAAATGAGAAACTACTTTGAGTTCACATCAGAAGAAATAGAAAACTTTGACGAGCTAATAGAAGAAGCCATTGACTATGAACAGCATATTGAAATATTGACGACATTTAAAATATTTAAAATAAATTCGGAGAGAATATGTACATATTGTTTAAGAACAGTTACCACTGATGGCCATTATTATATTGAAAGAAATCATTGGGAATTATATCACGGACTATTTGCTCAAATATATGAAGAAATATTAGATATAGAAATGGTACATGATATATTTAATCACTACGTCATAATGAATTATATGTTGAGGTGCTTATACTGTACACATGTGTTCGAAGTGAAAGCTTTGCGATTAAATGTTGAAGAACAGCTGGTTATTTTACTTAAACATTGCAACACACATATTGGGTAAACAAGTATTTTTTTCTATTTGCCAAAAGGCGATATTGCGACTAGAATTATATATTATGATAAAGATATTTTGTTTTTTCAAAATTGTTTAGCTTACACCACCAAAATGCATTTTATCATATACGATACTCATCTTGATGATAAAATTAAAATATTTTTCTGTTTATGACAGGATATCTTTAGATTATGAAATAGACCAAGAGGAACATCTACGAAAAGAATTTAAACGAAAACTAAATACAGAAAAAGAATTAGTCGAGGTGGAGAATTCTAGAAGGGACGATCACGGGCAGCAAAGTAGCGACTGTGATAAGTAACTTTATTTTTCTTATATTATATAGCACGAACACACACACATACACACACACACGCACGCACGCACGCACGCACACGCACGCGCACAGAGAGAGAGAGAGAGAGAGAGAGAAATTTCAAAATTAAATATTAATTTTCCAATACAAATATAACTTATATTATTACAAAAACATTATTCAATATGATAAAAAAAAGTAAAATTAATTTACATAATGTTACTTTTACATAATGTTATGATGATTTTTACAGAAATACTACAGAACAACTAGATGAATTACATCCAGAAATACAACAATACTTTTATGAGCAATATATAAAACAAATAATGGAACAGAAAGCGAATAATATAGATATTCAAAAAGATACGGCGTACAAAAAAAAAGAAAAAAATCTTAGGAAAGTTGCTGAACTACTGAAAAAATACGATATAAGGCCTATACAGACAGGGCAGCTAAAATGTTTAAAATGTGATATCATTGTTAATGATAAAATTTATAATGAAAGGTGTTTGTATCTTGTACGAAACCATTTTGAAATATATCACGGAAAATTAAATTACATATATAAAGGAATAGACAAAGAACTAGAAAAGAATTATAGAATAACAAACAGCATAATGTGGTGCACCGTATGTTCAGCAAATTTGGATATGGGAATGAACGATATGGAAACCATTAAAAAAAAAATGTTTATATTAGGTTTTCACTGGATATATTTCCATTCGTAGTAAGAAAAAAAGTATTTTATATTTATCAAAATTAACGAAAATAAATTTTATTTTGTTTTTATTCAATAATTTAAATTCATAACAACTCGAAAACTCAATAATTGTCATCATATTTTTAATCAAAATTACAAATTGTTATTATATGTATAAATACCCTGATGATTATA